TTTTTTTTTTTTGAGTGTATGTTGACCATTCTTTGTTTTCTTCCCCTTTCCATATTTGTGTCTAAACCTTCTTCAATGACTCTGTGTCATAAAGCCTCCCTCAACTGAGGAGGGATAAAAACAGCTTGGAAGAGAAAGTGTCAAAATCCTTTTAAGTGTCATGTCAAGATCAATGTAAAATAATGAATAATGTGACTAGTGGTTTGTTTGTCTTTTTGGCACTCTGTTTTGCAGTCTTTGCTGTTGTTTTTTGCTGAATAGAGTTGTCTTTAAGTTCACACTTAGAGCAAAGTCTCACTTGTAGTGGGGTGCATAAAGGAAGAAATGGATAAGCCGGGTGTCGTCTTGTTCATGAGCTGACCCCTGAGGCCTGAAGCATTTGGCAGTCTTCCTCATGTAATTAATTTATCTCCCATGAATTTCCATCTTCCTTCTGCACAGAGATATCCTCCATGACAGCAACTCCCCATCCTATTTGAATTGTCAGTCATTTCAGCTGTTGGATTACAAAGTCATAGGACCAAAGAATTGCTCTCCAAAGAAGGGAAAGTAAAATATTTCTTTATAGCTAGAACTCAGACTCCTTTGATAGTTATGATATTCAGCTTGATAAATAATTAAAAATGTAATTCAAATAGCTTTACTTGAAAGGCAGAATAAATTTACATCAATATAATGGCTGAGATAGCTGTTGTTATACTGTATATCAGTATAATTAGTTTAATTATAACTAAGCTATAGTTACATTAATTATATTTTAACCTTGATTTTTTATATTGTTAATTGAGCATTAGTATGCACTGAATTGAATGTACAGTTAAGAGTACAATGGAATGTCTAACTACTTTTGCAATTTGTAAATTTATACTTCATTTTGACTAATTAATGGAATTTATCTCTCTACAGAAGCCATTGTAAGTACCATATATATCACTGCCTTTATTTTAACTGCATTCAAAAACTGCAGAAAAAGCATACAAAAGCGAAGCAAAGTGCACAGCAGAGTCAATAGTTAAACAATTTTTCCAAAACCAGCCATAAGCCTGATATCGAGGGTACTAAGTTGTCTCTGGAAACCGAGGTGTGCCTTTGAATGTCAGCCCACAGCTAACTATAAGCTACGCTGCTGGTAACTGCTGTAACAAATGAGAACCATATCTGGTCTCTGCAATAACCAGCCTAGCCTTCTGGAAACTACAGGTCCAGTTCAGGCGGGAGAAGGCAACAGGTTTTGTTCAAGATCATTCTCACTTGTTCCAGTGTTTTGGTTTCTTTTCAGTGCCAGCAAAGGCTTTCTGACTGGAGTGCCCCATGTCATCCCAATGTGGCCTTCCAGGCTGGAATCAGATTTCAGGGGTTTCTTTCAACACACGAAAGAAATGGATCGATGTAAAAAGCCTTAAAATGATCAATGGAGGAACAACTTTGAATGAAAAATTTTATTCACGTAGAGTTTAGTTTATTATCCCCAGTATCTTGCAAGTCGGCAAGTTTCTTTCGTCGAGAGTACAAAACTCTAAAATGAGCACTCCAAACTTACGAAAGCCTCCTTGAGTCCTGGATATTTTTCAGGATGATTTGCACCAAAGTATCATAATTCTCACTGTATAAATGGAGACCAAAGCACTTAGAAAGGGATGGAGTACAATATCTTCCATGCTTCAAGTAGACTGTGCTATTTTTCTTGAGGATGCCATACATTCTGTTGACCTTTTCCGAAAGTGTACTAGAAATGTAATTTTGCAACTTTAAAATTTTGTTTAACATATAAAATTTTCTGGATGTGTTCTGTTGGTTTTGTCTGTTGCAGCTGTTCCACTTTAAAGGAAAAATTAAATAGTAAGTGGAAGTTTTGACCGAGCATAACGATATAGTCTAAAAATGCAGTCTTCACTAGGAAGGAGAAAACTTGTGTTCCATGTTAGTTCTGTCTTAACTTGATCAGGATATATAACCAAAGTTGCTAACAGAATTTAAAGAAAACAGTTACTCAGTGTTTTTATAACAGTACAGAAAGTCCTGTATTAGTGTAAAAGTCTGTTTTCCTGCTTATAATTTTTAGATATTACACTGGAATTCATTGTGTTGACTGAACTATGGACAAAAAGGCTGAGAGGGGTTGGAATCTGTACTTATATGTTCTTTCTCTCTTTATTTATAAAACAAGCTGATTTTTTTCTTCCTGTATGTCCTGTGGTTTATATGAATGGCCTAATGAGAAATGCTAGCATGCTGATAACAAAAGGGCAGAAAACAAGCATCTGTTTTTCTCTATCTTGAGGGAAAAAAATCATCATTTTGCTGCATGCTAATCGATATTTCAGAAAATATTAAAAAATATATTTCCAATTTGATTCTGATAACATCATATATGAAGATGTTTGTTAAGGAAGAAGAGGATTATAATTAGTTTAATGAATGGCATCAGAATTTAAAAAAAAAGGGAAAAGCATTTACAGTATATCGTTCAGTGAAAAGGTTTTCTGGTATCATGCCATCACTACTTGAAACGTGCATTTCATTTAGACCCATTAAAATGAAATCTGAGAGATTGACTGAATTTCAAGGAAAATCAATTTCCAGAGATGAGGGCAGTTTTCTATTGTAAGATATGTACTATAATTAAAAATTATGCTGTGTTTTTCTTTCATCTATTCTTTCAGTATTCAGAAAAAGCTTAGGACCTGGCTAAACAGAACTGAGGATGATCTCCAGCTTTTTGATTTGAAAATCTACTCAATGATATTGCCGAGGGAAGAACAGGCATTGTACTATACATACCAAAAAAGTCTCACTAAAAGACCAGAATCCTCATATGTTTTTGTTTTTTTTTCCCTGTTCAGATTGTTTTCTGCTTTGAGAGATACAGAGATGGAAAAAAATTAGGTCCATGAGTTCTTTAGTGAATACATTAGAATCTCTTTATTAATGGGAACTCTTTAAGTGTTCAAGGTCAGCACTAATGGATAAAGTTGCAAGATAAGGACCAAATTGAGTAAGAATATTAAATGATCTATTCGCACTGTACTCCTCCTTTATGAAAGCTAAAGGTCAGTGGGTGGGATATCGTTCATCTAAGGCTGTGTGCTTTACGGGAGGCACAACACCAAAGTCATGTCTGTACTATAGGCACTGGGGACACGGATGTGTTTTTATTTCCTGATGCAAACTTAGTAACTGTTGCCTAATACAGTTCTAGCTAAAGAACATTAGATATCTGTTATTTTTTGCAGCCATGCATACTTATTTTTTTGTTCTTCATGGTATGGACCCATTCCAGACTAGATGTATCTATCCAGCTACAAGGTTCATGCTGAGTAAAAGTCCCTGAAATTACCCCTGAGTGTGATTTGTTCTCTGTAACTGCACTTGGCGTATTACCAAAAGCTCAGTCTCTTGTTTCTCCAAAGACAGCAGCTGCACCAAAAGAAAACCTTGTTAGTGTGCCTGAATCTTCCTAGTAAAACAAACCTCAGACACATATCTCTGTGTTCAGCAGCACCTAGATAACATTTCACTGTGGATAGTGTTTCACTCTGTTAGAGTTCATTAAATAAGGAATCCACTGCTTCTGACAGGTTATGCAAAATATCAACATTAATCAGTCCATATCTAATGATAAAGTTGACCTTAAAAAATAATTTGATTTGATTTAAGTATGGCTGGAAACTGAGCTGGTAAAAATTCTGTATATACTTCATTTAAAATAACCTGTAAGTGGATATAAATTAATGAGGAAGTACACTTCTGGTATCCTCTTTCCCCTATCACTCCTTTTCTTTTTTGCTAAGTCTTTGTCTAGAGAGATGTCTACAGGCAGTTAACTTCCTTGGCACCATCCAAACCTACAAAGATACTAAAATTTTATATCATTGCCATTAAGAGCAAAGGACCGTTCTAATTAGTCCCCAGCAAGGTTCGTCATAATCATGATAATTTATCTTTTGATAGCATTAAAATATATTTTGATGCCGTGGTTCATTATGTAAAATGCAGAGTTTGTGTTTTCTTTTTCTCCCCAGACTCCTGAATCTTGTTAACAGGAGATACATATTTATATGTTCACTAGTGCTAGTATTTGTAGAGCCTGCATTTAATACATTTACTTTGAGTCTAAATGATTAATCATATATTTAGTTCTCTTAACCAGAAATGTAGAAAACCACTAAGGGGAAAACCATTCTGTTACTCAGAATCTCTTAAAAACTTTTTTCTTTCAAATCTCAGATTTTTTTATTATTAAGTATCTTAATTTTGACAGGTCTTTTCTGTACATGTAAATCAGCATCACTGAATGTTAAATTAGATGTTGGAATAAATAGGATAGATTTAGTGTCATTATGGGTAATGAGACACCCTTGCAATCAAGCTTGCTTCTTAGCAATGGATGTAATTTCAAGTAATGTTGTACAGCTACAAAGTAATGGCCAAAGTCTCTTAAATCAGGATCATTTTTTTCCTGTATTGTCTTTTAACCTACTAGGCTTTAATATTCTGCATTTTGTTTCACTCTTGTTGTTTAGAGAATGCATGCATGCATATGTGTGTGCACAGACACACAAAGAATTAACAGCAACATTTCCCCCCCTCTCTCTCTCAGCTACTGCCCCTTTAATATTGAATGTGATGCACGCAATATGATTTTTGAAATATGTCTTCTTAGAGCAGGGTCTACCAAAGAGATAAGGAAGGTAAACCTGGTAAGAATTAATTCTCATAGATCTGTCCTCCCTCCTGTGTTGATCTGTTCACCTTGACACACACACCCCCCATTAGAATAGTGATGTGTGGGTGGCAGTGCTAATCTGAAAAGGACAAAAAGCGTGCATTGCATGTGGGTGGTACAATGGTAAGTGACCATAGAGAAGAGATTCAAAGTCATTTAACTATGGAGGTGAGGGTAAGTGTGTTTGTTTTGAAGACTCTATATCCCAAGGGTGAAACCCAGGGCTGTGGTTTTTTTAAACAACATTCAAGTCTCTTTCTTTTTCTTTAAACAGGTCTGAAATGGATATACTGTCTGCTAGCACTAAAGGCATTCTCATCGGCTATTGTCCACAGCAAGATGCCCTGGATGAACTTTTAACGGGTTGGGAGCATCTGTATTATTACTGCACACTGCGTGGAATTCCAAAACAGGATATCCGTAAGGTAACTATCCAGAACAGATTTGCAGGGGGAGCTAAAGCCAGGTTGAGCTGTGGAGTTTATAAAACAATTGTACTTTTTTTACATGAGAGAATATCTAATATTTCATCTTAACAGCTTTAATAATAAGATTTTTCATTACTACTTTATTTAAACAATATGGATTTTTTTTCTGTCTGTTATGCCAGTTCAAAACACAATAACTTCACTGAGGATAATAAAATAACATTAATGCAAATGAAATCTCAGGCACAAAAACTCTAAAGGAAATTAAATTTATGAATGGTTCAACACCTTCATTATCACACTTAGAGAACTGGAAGGGAACACCAAATGTTCTGAGTCATGCACCTCTTTAAAACTCTTCTTCAGAGATGGGTTTAAACTCTGAAGGAATTAAAAATTATTGAATGATTGTACAATAAACCAAACGTCTGGGTGCTGAGATGGCAGCTGTCAACAATCTGCTAGTAAATGTCTCAAACTTCACAAGATGGTGGCTACATTCAAACTGCCTGCTGGGAGCGGTCCCTAAAATATTCCAGCTGCCATACGAGGCCTGGGGTTGTTCAAGGAGAAGAGGCCAAACCCATGTGTTGTGGTTTAACCCGGCAGGCAGCTAAACACCACACAGCCGTTCGCTCACTGCCCCCGCCCCAGTGGGATGGGGGACAGAATTGGGGAAAAAAAAAATAAAGACAGTTTAATGGGACAGAAAAGGAAGGGAAATAATAATAATAATAATAATATAAAAAATAAGTTATACAC